TCATGACGAGAAAATTTCCAAAAGCAAATTTTAATGGTTGAACTGAATTGTGTTATGTAGTGTGTTAAATTGGAGAATGTATCAATCATTGTCCTTGAAAAAATTAAACATCTTCCCCATCCAAAAAATTTTAGATAGCCAAGCTTAATTTAGGTGTAAAAAAAATTGTGTTTAAAATATATGTAAGCTTATTATTCACAGGTAATATCATAATTAATTTTCTTAATTAATTGAAAAAGGTAGATATCTAGTTTTCTTAATTATATTTAATTTAGTGATAATCTTTTTCTACTAAAATTAAAAAGTCTTAAATTTGAATTACATTATATATAAGTAAAATGGTTTAAGAGATCATAAAGAATTGCTTTTGATTATGCAATCTAAAATAAAACTATATATATAGATACATAAAAGAGATGAATAATCAAAATTTTATATAAATATGATAAATAAAATTTATATATAAATACACCTCTACTCAAACTATATATACAACAGGATTGTTGAAGCCATGTTATATTAACAAGCACCAATAATCAATTAGTGTAACTATTAACACATTCTACAACGGTAACATGGAACTTCAAATACAACATTAATTAAAATTATTAATTACTAAATACGACTCGTATTCCAAAAAAAAAAAAAGGGTAACCATGACTCGCTACGCGCCTCTTAATTTGTTTTTATGGACAAAATAATTTTTTAAAGGAAAAGTGTTTTATAAGTTTGTTTTAAAATTTTTTTTTAAATATGTTTAAAATTTTAATTTTTTAATTAATATTTTAAAAATTAAATCATTAAAGTAAAAATTTTATTTATATAGAGTATATATATTAATTTTTAAATTATTCTAGTAATCTTCATTATTTTATTGATCATAAAAAAATTAGTATTATTAAATATATATTAATTAATAAAAAAATTTTATTAAAAAATTTTAAGTATTAAATCAATATAAAAATTATTATGTATAATTTATATAAAAAATTTTATTTAATAATTAATTTTTAAAAATATTAATTAAAACATAAAATTTTAAATAAATTATTTAAAAATTTTAAAAAAAATCGACGTCACCTACATTTTCCACAATTGTTGCATATATCAATTTCAGCACTTGACGTGGCAGTAAGTTGATTAAAATGGGACAAAAACGGTCTCACGGAATCAGCCCCGAGGATTGGCTGACAACCTTTAAATTCTGCTAAAGCAAGTCACTAAATTGGTTAAAAGTCTAACTAGTACTTTTATGTTCTATTTTTAAGCCGAGTGCGTAAGAATTTTTTTCCTTTTGAAAAAAGGGCTTTTGTCTTTTTTAGCTCATAATCAAATATATTCTTTTATAATCCACATAAGATATAGCAAAAAAAAGGAACCTCTAAATTCCTTGATTCCCTTGGGTTCTTCATACTCCTATCCCTAAATAATTGTAAGAAAGAGAGATAAAAGAAAGAAATTAGTAATAGATTAGATAATTAAAATTAAAGGATAATAGCAAGATTAAAATATTTTATGTTTGTTGGATATTGAGAAAACAATAATTAATTAAATTAATTAAATATAATTTTTTATTAAAAAAGAATTGTTATTTTAGAATAGAGAAAGCATATTACAATACACTATAATAAAATATAAGTTAAAAGTACAATATATATTTATTTTTATATTATTTAATCTATAAGATAAAAATTGATATTAATTTTATTAACAATTGAATTAAAATAACACACGTGATAATAGTATTGAAATTAATATTAGCTTTTTCTTATGTAAATTAATACCAAAGATTTATTAATTAATTAAATGGTATTTTCTAACAGGTTAGAGTGCATTAATTAGGGCATTTAAAGGTATCTTTCCTTAAAATTGTTGAAGATTTAAGCTCTATTTAGTACTATTGTAATTTTTAATTTTATTTTTCTAAGAACTTGTTTAATATAGTGATTTGGAGTAATGATTATTAACTATGTTCAAACCACCATAGTATAAGTATTTGGTAAATTTATCTATTTGTAAACCCTTACAAACTAAGGGGAAGTTGTCTGTGATTCAGGGGATAAGGAGGAAGCTAGAAGGAATAGGAGAAAGGAGAAGAGGGATGAATCCTCAGATGAGGAGGATGAGCGTTGACCCCGTAAAAGGAAGAGTAGGAAGGAGAAGAGGAGGAGAAGTCATAGATCATTGTATGATTCTAATTTTGATGGAATGGATGATTTTGGGAGACGTCATAAGAGAAAGAGGCAGAGGGCGACATCTATGTCTGATTATGATATCAGTAGTGGAAAGGATGCTAGGCGGTTTGAGATGAGGAGCACAAAACTTCATACTGGAAAGGATAAGATTTTCTTTTTTTTTTTTTTTGGCCGGAAAGGATAAGTGTAGACTTAATGTGAAAGACAATCTTAAGCTTTTCATAGTCTTGTTTCCTATTTTAGTTTTATTATTATCTATCATTTAGTGAATATAATAAATTGGTGGATGTTTGATTTTTGATGAGGTTAATAAATACATAACTTTTTATAAATTTTTTAATCTCAATGTAAATAATTTATTTTTAATTAAATTAAAAAAAATTTAATCTCAATATATAATATATGGATACTAAGTTAAAATAAAGAATAATAAAATAAAATGGTGGATGAGCTTGCACTATGCATCAGAATTTTATTCTTGGGTATGTGTCTTGCCTATGCAAGAAAGTCATCAAAGTTTCCACTTGTAATGAATTATTTTATTTATTTTCTTTGTAAATAAGTAATTGAAACATATTTGCCTATTAACAGGGATTACTTGCATTCTCGTGCTTAGTTATCACATTTTTAAACTGATCTTCATTTGGTTCGGTTCACACTTCATAGAAATATTATAAATCTCAGCTTAACTGATTCCTCGCAAAATATTGCTAGTCAAATGTTAGAACATGAGAGAGGGAAATGTATATACTTCTAAAAGTACTTCAATATATCAGACAATCACACAGCAGAACGAAGAATCAAAGAAAGTTAAAAGTTGAAAGGAATAGACAAGTGACATTGATAATGTATCTGCCCTTCTTCCATGAACCTCATTGGCCAATCCATTGCTGGAGTTGAGTCTTCGCATTGACTTAGAATGGCACATTGACTAGTCACCCCCAGTTCTGTAAATTACTTGAAGACGAGGGGTTTATTACTATATAATTATTTTTTTATTGGAAAAGGTAATTACACTGTTGATATTAGATTTTGTTTGTAAATACTTTGTGCCATTGCTGTTGTGGTAAGTTTTTTTTAATATAGTTACTATCTTAAAAAAAAATTTTAAATTTTAGAAAACTAGAAATCTATACCTAAAACAAACACAGCCATAGCCTAGCATTTCTAAACGAAACCTTTAATTAATGTCAATAAATCATGTGATATTTTTAACAAGTCATTCTAATGCCTTTTGCTTTTTATTAATTTTTTTATATCTAAAAATTAAATTAAACCTAAATTAATCTAGAGTCAATTCACATTAGATCTCATAAAGCATTAGATTTCATAAAAAGAGAAATTCTCTTATATAATATGTTTTTTTTTTTCATTCATAAGATTTGAAGTTGAAGTGTTATTTAAGAAGAACCAAACTCTTATCACTTAAACTAACAAGTCATTAATATTGTGATGCTTTCTTATGTGATCATATCTCTAATGATTAAATTGTTCTTACACTATCTTGCATTTCTCCCATTTATTTTAGTGCCTTTAAACGGACTTCTTCACTTTCTAAATATAAGCTTTTAACCATTACAGATCGTTGCCGGACTCGGAAATACCGTTTGCAAAAATAAATCAAGGGCCTTCTTAAGCTTTTAACCACTAGAGAGGTTAAATTTCTCCCAAAAAATCACCGGCATACAACTTGTTGACTGAGTAAAAAATTATCAGATTACAAAACACTGTTATTAGATTAAGAGAGATACTGATATAATGGATCGAGGACACTATAGTAGGTGAATCATGCCTCATTTAATAACTGTTGTTGTGTAATTTAATATAATTTAAATTGTATAATAATTTTTTATATATAATAAAGTGTTTGTTAGTGGTACCTTCTAAAATTTAAGACCAAAAAAAAATTTTTAATTATATTGTTTTATTAAAGTCTCACGATAAGATGTCAAAACAAACTTATTAATGCATTCTTTTAGTTTTTTTAATGATAGTTTAGTAAAATGATGTAATTTTTGTAGTTCTATATTTTTTTCTTAATTTTTTTAAAGATTCAACTAACAAATGCTTATTTTCTCATATATAATATATAAAGTACTGTTATTAATACACCTTTAATTATTAATGTCAAATTTTATTTTAATTGATTATTATACATTTTAATTTATTAAAAACAAAAATTATAAAATTTTGGGAAAAAATATAATGTATAAGTATAATAGGTAATTATATTAAAAGAGTGTGACATTAACTATTTAAATAAAATGATGACCAAGAACAAAAACCAATCCACATTAGTTTACGAGGAAAATCGTTCCCCATATATTCTCTATTAAATTTTATAACTTGTACTGGGGTCTGGATTGTTACATGAAAAGGAAAGAGGAAAGTGCTCAGCATTGAGGAGAGCAAAAGAGAAGAAGCAAGCGGGTCAAAAACGCACCCACGGGATCCCTTCATGGGCCCTCATGCGGAGAAAAACTTCTCTGCTGCGGACTTTCATAACAGTTGTTGGGATTTTACTTGGAAAATCACAATAGATCAATCTTTTCCTTTGGAAAGAGGGTATTGGGTATTTATTTACTTTTTTTATATTTAGTGTCAGTGTTTTTGAGTAAATAATTAATTTTTCATTAATAAATTAAATTAATTTATTAATGCATATTAGGATATTTATAA